ATCGCTCATAGAATATATCCTATAAGATGATTTTGCTACAAATATTGTTGGTTAAACTCAGATCCTTCCAGTAGGATTAATTCTAGTAACCTAGCATTAATACTTTCAACAGAATTAAAAGCTTTTTATCCACAGATCTATTCACCTAGGCAGACAGGACTGGCTTTTTAACATTTCAAAAATAAATAATACAACAGATATATGATAATGCAATTACAAATGATGGACTTTGGGATTCGTAAATATGGTTAAAACTATTTATAATGACCAATCGGCAAAAGTGATGGCAAATGGTGATAATGACAGAAAAAGTGGCCATCAGGAAGGGAACTAGACAAGGATGCCTGTTATCTCAATTATTATTCATATTGACATTAGAGATTTTGAACAGAAAGATAAGACAGAATGAAGAAATAAAAGGGATGAGAATTCAATTGCCTTAAGGAGTACTTTTCTCTCAGTTGCATTAAAAATGACTAACATGTTATGTTACCACTAGTCTTATTAATGCTATGTGACATCAAACGGGTCACAGCACTCTTGAAGGCCATGGGCAAACCTGAAGGAAGGAACAGAGACAGATTAGAAGCAGACATTCTGGTTTAAAGATTACCTCTGTAGTGCTCCCAATCTATGCTTTGGATCCACAGAAGCTGTCTATTTCAAACAAATTGCAGAGATACAAAATACTGCAAAGTACACCCTGTAAACTCAGACAGCACTTACCTTCATCAAAATACTTATGGCACAAGCCATGCCAACTGCACCAACCCCAACCACAGTGATTTTGTTGTGGGCATGATCGTGTTCTTCCTTATGGACATGTTCAATTAGTTTTTCTTTGAGAGACATCTTGTAACACTGGAAGAAAAAAAAATGACAAGAAACTCCTTATCTTACACTTCTCATTTGCTGTACGGTATTTACATTTGTTGCCAGAGTTCATTTCTAGCCTCATCTCTGCACTCAGATATTTCATGTCCCCACATTCACATATATCAATTTAATTCTGGAAATGTGCCAAAATTGGTTTATTTTCAATTTGGTTTTTACCAGATTTTCTTTTCACAAGGAACGTGGATGCAACAGAACAAAAGGACAGGAATGAGGATCAAGAAGCCTGGTTCTCATTGACCATGGAAGCTGTACCATCTTCAACATGAGGTCCATGTTGAATTTGTCCTATAGTCCCTTGAGGCATGTTTTTAATCACAGTGATTTCTGAAGCAGCAGCACAATAAACTGCATAGTCAACATTTTACTCTTTCTAATCTTAGGATCTGGCAAGAGCAGCCTTAGGAGAGGCAATATCCTACGACTTCTTTTCAACTTGCTCATTGCACATTGAGACACAAAATTTAGATGACAACTGGAAAACTCACAGAGATGGGACCCATATAAACAAAAGCAGTGAAAACAATGTATGGTTTGCCTTGGGAAAACTGCACTATGGACATAAAGATCACAGACAGTTTGAAAGTGATTGTTTGAAGTTAAAGTCCAGAAAGTCTGTGGCTAGGAAGATAATCTTGTTCAGGGTACAATCTGATACACAATTTCACTCAGGCACATTGAACTCTGGTGACCCTGCATAGTGATCAAACTAAAAAGGTCTTCTTACATCTTTGCATTTGCACAGTTTTGATCACTCTTTGGAAGCTGTACTTTTCCACAAGGGGCCCTGGGAAAGTCTGTTTCTCAGGGCATCTGATGGGGCAGCTGCAATAGTAATATTGGAAAAAGCGGAGACTATCTGGCTCCACTAAGCTTCCAGCAGGAAGGACAAAGCAAGCCAGGATATTTCTGTAAGTATCAGGAGGTAAAGGATGTATCAGGAGGAAAAAAAATGTTTCATTATGTACAGTAGGAAGTTTATTCTACACAGCATGTGGTTTTTAACCCCTGTAGCCATAAGACCTGCTTCTCCTGTTCAGCATTCCTGGAGGGCCATATAATTGCACTGTCTCCTGTGGCGCTGCCCCAGGGTGCAACTGGTGAACAATTGCATCCAGCTATAGATGAAAGAAACCCACTGGGGTCATGGAGGATTCCTATACAGAGCTTCCCTCAATAGCCTTTCCCCCCTCCCCTCCCCTTTAGCTCTCTGGGAAATGCCCCTGGGGGCATCCACACAAGCTCTCTCCTCAATGCATTCCTGTTGCAAAGAGGAGGGGAACCACCATTGTCCTGGAGACAAAAGGGCCTTGGAAGATGAGACCATGAGTTTGCATAGGAAAACTAAATGCCATCCACAGCATGGTGGTCCCAAAGGTGTTTTTTTTTTTTTCAAGGGGCAGCTGAACTTTCTGGTTTTTCTTTCTCATACAAGAAGCTTCTTCAGTTCTGACTGGATGTGATAATAAATATAAACCCCTCCATTCCGCACCATCCAGCCAGACCTGAAAACGCTTCTTCGATACAGGGAGGTTACTTGGAGCATAAGAGTCTGGAGACTGCAGAATAACAGTTGAAAGGGACCTCGGGGGTCCTCCAGTCCAACCCCTGCCCCCAGCTCAGTCAGAAAAGCCTGCACCATTTAAGACAAATGATAGTCTAATCTCTGCTTAAAGGACTCCGAAGTTGGAGCACCCACAACCTCTTGGAACAAGTCGTTCCATTGATTGATTGATTGAAGCGAAAGGTCTTCAAAGAAAAAACAGAAAGTCCAGTTGCCAACACCTTTGGGACATGGGAAAACTAATGGAGATGAAGATGGAGCCAAGCCCCATTACCTCGCTCGGGAAGCCTGAAGCCCCATTGCGAGGGGCCATGCCGAAGTGACCCCAGGGGCTTCGAGGCGACAAACGCAGCCTTAGAAAGGAAAGCCGGTTCTCGCCAGCCGATTTAAAAAAGATACGGCTGCGGGGGTGGCGGGGTTGCAGTGCTGCAATGAGTACCTCCACGCGGAGGCTTCCGTGGACAAGCCGACGACCCCGCTGCCTTTCCGGGACGCTGCAAAAGTTGCATCCACGCCGCTAGGCTTAGCAGCCCACCGGCCTCTCGTTCAGAACCACCAGTTGCTCTGATCCCTACCGGCCCGATCTGGTGATCCGGCCATCTTCCTCCAACGTACGATCCCTAAATCTCGAGGCTCCCCCCACCCTCCGAAGAGACCCGGGGCTCTCCGCCGTCCTTTGCAAGGGGAAAGAGGCCGAGGAAGGGAGCAATTCAGTAGCGCTCCCCAAGAGTTGGCTGCGAAACAATTCAGGGAACGAAAGCGTCCAAATCCCATTGGGAAGGACCATGTCCGCGCTTTTTAATTCGTACGCTCGGGCATTGTTTCTACGTGGGCGCGCATCCCCCTCCTCAACACCCCGCATCCTTTACCGCGGAGTTAAAAAAAATGCTTTTCCCCAGCGAAAAGCTCGAGTCTCCCAATCCCCCCCCCCTCACGCCTCCAGCCCGCTCCCTTACCTGGTGGTCTATGCAAAAGCCCCTTGCAACCCCGCCAATTGCCGCTCCAGTACCGCGAGGCTGGGGAGGCGGCGGCAGGGCTTTTATCAGGGACTCCCCACACGTGACCACGGGAGGGCGGCCGCCGGGAGACGTGCCAAGATTCACGTCTGGCCTGAGGAGAAGGTTCCCCACCCCCACCCCCGGCCTCTGCGGGCTTCCCTTTCTGGCGGGTGCTTCGTAGTTGCTGCTAGTGGGGGTGGTGGGCAAGCTGAGGCGCCCGGCCTCCCATGTCCCTCCATTCTACTGTACAGGGAGTCCTCCACTTAAGTTCATTTAGTGACCGTTTCAAGTTGCGATGGCACTGAAAAAAGTGACTTATGACCGTTTTTCACACTTTTGACCCTTGCAGCGCCCCCCATGGTTATGTGGTTTACATTTGGATGTCCCAAAGGTGCTTTTTTCAAGAGGCAACTGGACTTTCTGGTTTTTCTTGGAAGGCCTTTCGCTGAAGAAGCTTCTTGGATGAGCTGAAGAAGCTTCTTGGAGGAGAAGCGAAACGTCTTCAAAGAAAAATCAGACAGTCCAGTTGCCTCTTGGGGAAAAAAAGCACCTTTGGGACATCCAAATGTAAACCACATAACCATGGGGGGCGCTGCAAGGGTCAAAAGTGTGAAAAACGGTCATAAGTCACTTTTTTCAGTGCCATCGCAACTTGAAA